GCCGTTTTGAGGAGGGTATGGAGAAACTCAGTCCTTTGGCTAGTGCCGTTTTGAGGAGGGTATGGAGAAACTCAGTCCTTTGGCTAGTGCCGTTTTGAGGAGGGTATGGAGAAACTCAGTCCTTTGGCTAGTACCGTATTGAGGAGGGTATGGAAAAACTCAGTCCTTTGGCTAGTGCCATTTTGAGGAGGGTATGGAGAAACTCAGTCCTTTGGCTAGTGCCGTTTTCTGATCATCAATTAAAGTGAAGTTGTAGTTGAAGATGACTTGGTGAGGGGAAATCTTGCCATTGCTTTAAAGTTTTCTTAATTCAACAATCCGTATGTGTTCGTGCAATTTTCTTCTCATTATTTTGGTTGATAAGGTTCATAAGGTGGTTGAAATCCAGCCATAATGTGCAGTTAGAGATGAATTCAGTTTGGATAAGGGATTATATTAGGGTCGGTGTTTCCATCTAAGTTCTTCATCAAGTAAGTACTTTTGACAGCTATGGTATGCCATTGAGATTTGAAGGTTTTTATTAGCAAGTTTGAACTGAAGAAACTTTGGGGTTATTGAGTTTTGCATTCCGTTAAAAACCGGATGTCAAGATTTATGTTTTCTAGTCCAATTTTTCAATAGGTTCTGAGACAATCGTTTCCATGTTGTCCGAGAAGTATTCTGGTATTCCATTAATTTTTGAAAAAATGTGAAAGTAATTATATGAAGCATTTAGTAGGTGTTTCAAAATCTTCAGTAATCTAGAGGTACAAAACAAACATAAGAACTACAGTATAATCTGTAATAAATATTAAGTACACAAACTGAATACAAAAAAGAATTACAGGAGGAAATGAACATTATGTGTGGTGCAAATGAAATAAGTTATATTAAAATAAATTTAAATCAGATGAAAAATATGTTTTATTTAGAGAGGGAAGTAAGGGTTTTTATGTACAATGTATCTTTTACTAGTAGTTCTGTATCATGCTTAGCTTTTGACATTAGAGAGAAAAATTGGCCCTGTTTCTGTATTGTGTTAGTAGACAGAAGAGTTGGGGGGATTTGTAACTTTTCTTCCAGTTTTTTATAGATATACCCATATATTCAAATGCTCATACTTTAAGGTAATGTTTAGTTTCACCAACCATAAGAGGCCTTACAGTCTTCACATGTTTATAAATAGTGAGATGTGAACAATGGATAAATGGAACATGATCTTTGTAACGAACAATATTAATTTCACTTTTCAAAAGCAAAAAAATATCACAATACCCTAGTTTTCATATCGAAAAATTTTCAGAACTGGGATTCCAAGAAATTTTAGCAAAGTCTTAGTAATATAAATTTACAAAGTATCTTAAGTGCTGCCACATTGAAGGTAATTGGGTTGAAACTTGTCAAAATTCTTCACAAGTTGATATCATTGTTTTAGCTTACCAAAATGGTCACTACCAGTGGGGTCCACATATTGATTGATTGCATACTGCATTGTATCGAATAATGTTATGGTTTTGTCTCATTATAAAGAACTAGCTAAAAACAAATTGGTGAAATCACTTATTTTATATGGAAGGTACGTATCAGACTCGAGTAGTAATTAGGAGACTCAGTTATTGGTTGTGTTTTTATGACTACATGATTCATGTTATAAGGGACTCTAAACCAACAAAGTCATAGGTCTGTAAGTAGCTAGGTACATAAGTAGTTTATAGAAATTTGTGAAAAAGTTGATAAGGTCTGTCTGTCCAGTACAAATAATTGGATGAAGCTTGTTACAACGTCCCAGGGGCTGACCCATGGGAATAGGGGTGATGGATAGGGTAGCTCACTACCTTTCTTTTCCTGAGTACATTTTAGGAATCAACCAGCTTACATTGTTTAAAACATTTTTCAAGAAAGCCTGCCCTAGACCCCATCAAGTAGCCACCCTGTAATTTAAATAGGTATCTTGCTTATAGTAGAAAAATAATAGCACTATTGAACTATTTAGATATTCATGTTAAATTTTCTCTGCATGTGCAGTAGAAAAGATGAAGATGAAGAAAGGAAGGAAGAGTGGACATTCAATAACTCCTACTGGGAATTGCGTAATAAACCTGGGTTTGCAATTATGAGTTTTCCAGAAAAGCTGTGGTAACAATAATAGGCTTAGAGTTATTCACTTTTGAAGTAGTTGTGTTAGTACTTTTTTTTCTTGTGTACATTCAGCCTGGGCCTTATACATCGACAGAATAAATGGCTGTTTACTAAAGTTTAAGACAAACCTTGACTGTTGCTATTTTACCTCTACTTAAATCTTACTGCTGAAAATAGATATATAGAATGTTCAAATATTTGAAGATTAAGACAAATGGCTCAGGGTTTGGTTGCCATAAAGATAAAAAAAATATAAAAAATAACAGAGAAATGTAGAGAGAACACCGTTCTCTCTCTGCCCTCGCTCTTGTAAATCAATTGCTTAAAATAAATTAATATTTTAAGAAATTTTTGTTTAATTATATACCTATATACGTGAAGTGTTGTAGTTTGTTTTTTCTGACAATTTGTAGCTATGTTTTAATTTATACACAAGTTGTCTGTTAGTTTAATTAAATGGGATGCTAGACATCAGTGATACTTATTATTTTAAATTTCAGAAATCAGTGATTTTTATCATTATGTTATAAAAATTGTTTCTGTGTGATTTCATGTGGTGCTTTTTTTAAATCTTATTTTCCACAACTAGTGATTGTGTGATTAGAAATCAGTCTGAAACTATTTCATGATTTCTAGAATTATTCTTTATGTACGTAGAGAACATTTTTCTAGTTGCTTCTGTAGAAAATGTTGTAGATAATATTCAATTTTAGTAGGTAAGTAAGTATTTTTTTTATTTACTTACCTCGTTTCTTCTATTGTTTTCTTTACTGGATTGTTGATTTTTTTAAGACCCGACAAATCAAACATGGGGTTCCTGCTTATAGCACTGAAGAAAGGAAGCTTTTTTGAAAAAAAGATCCCCAAATAAATTTTTTTTGTATGAACTTTTTTTAAAACAGAAAGTCAAATAGCACTGTTTTAAAATTTTGGTTCATTTTAACTTCTAATTGTAACTTGTTGCTTTAGTTCGATTCTCTGAAAAGTTTGTGGGCTAACTGTCCCAAATTTAATGGGTTAAAAACAAATGTTTCTGACATTATGCTGAGATATTAACCTAAATTTTTCTATTTCCCCAAACACTTTAGTCCTTCAAATAGCAATACACTGTGAAGCTACAAATTTGTGCTGTTAACAACTGTTGTTTAATATGTTTGGCTTCACCAGCATCTCCAGCTTCAGCACAGTTGTCTGTATTACAAGTAGAGCATAGTGCTGTAATGAAGTAGCATAAAAAAGTTCAGAGTACTGGTGAGTGTTATATCAAAAAAAAAGCTTTTGGTGCTTCAAAAATAATTATATTTGCTGCTTGTTTTGTTTAAGAATGGTATAGATAAGTAATATATATATAAATATGTATGTCCAAATATACATAGACATAGTTGAAGCTTAAAGCTTGTTATACCTGTTTCGGACTGCTTCAACACGTTATCTAAAATTATCACACTATGCACCGTCTAAATTATTTCTATGTTTGCTTCCAGTTTTATCAGAACAATTCCGGTTACACTCACCTGGATTTTCTTTTATTTGAATGTGATCTGAAATGCAAAAAAATGTTTTTTTCTCCAATTATCAGTTTTAAGCAGTTATTACAGTGTACACTACAAAAAATGTTGCATTTGGAACAATCGTAAAGATAGTGGAGTGAATTTTAAAAACTACCTCTACGTAAGAGTTGCTGTCAACCTCATTGTTAATTTTAGTGAAAAACTGACTATATTATACTTAATGGAATGTTTTTATTTTGTCTCTGGTGTAAAATGTTTGTGATGAAGTGTAGTGTTTACAATTATTCCATTTTCAGTAACTTTTAATGGTTTTACTTCCATTTGGTGTTGTTTTTCCTTAATGATCTATGAATACTGAGAAAGTTAATTCTTACACACTGATCTGAAGGAAAAGTATGTTAAATATATGTTTCCATGGTAAAAAAATATAGGTCATTGTAGTTATGTGTTTGCCTAGTAAGAAGATGTATTCAAATATACAGGTCAAAGACAGGGTCATGGTAGTTTTGTGTTTGCCTAGTAAGGAGATGTATTCAAAGATACAGGTCACAGACAGAGGGTCATGGTAGTTGTGTGTTTACCTAGTAAGAAGATGTATTCCAAGATACAGGTCACAGACAGAGGGTCATGGTAGTTGTGTGTTTGCCTAGTAAGAAGACATATTCAAAGATACAGGTCACAGACAGAGGGTCATGGTAGTTGTGTGTTTGCCTAGTAAGAAGACGTATTCAAAGATACAGGTCAACAGACAGAGGGTCATGGTAGTTGTGTGTTTGCCTAGTAAAAAGATGTATTCCAAGATACAGGTCACAGACAGGGTCATGGTAGTTGTGCGTTTGCCTAGTAAGAAGATGTATTCAAAGATACAGGTCAAAGACAGGGTCATGGTAGTTTTGTGCTTGCCTAGTAAGGAGATGTATTCAAAGATACAGGTCACAGACAGAGGGTCATGGTAGTTATGTGTTTGCCCAGTAAGAAGATGTATTCAAAGATACAGGTCAAAGACAGGGTCATGGTAGTTGTGTGTTTGCCTAGTAAGGAGATGTATTCCAAGATACAGGTCACAGACAGAGGGTCGTGGTAGTTCCTGCACACACATTAACAGACTCACAGTTGTTAGTCACAGTTCCTGCACACACACAAACTAACTCACAGTTGTTAGTCACTATTCCTGCACACACACACACACACACACACAAACTAACTCACATTTGTTAGTCACAATTCCTGCACACACACACACTAACAGACTCACATTTGTTAGTCACAATTTCTGCACACACACACACTAACAGACTCACAGTTCTTATTCACAGTTCCTGCACACACACAGACTAACAGTTGCTATTCACAGTTCCTGCACACACTAACCCATGTTACTCTTTCATGACACTTGCCCAGACACTATGAATAGAAACTTGTTTTATATCCTTGACATCATTTCATTTGTTTTTCATATCTACACCGTCCTCCTTGAACACGAACCATTTTATTACACTGAAGTGAAAGCATCAAAATTGTGTATGGAACTTTTAAGGACTATAGTACTAACATTTTCCTATAGGGAAAAGAATAACAGATGGCACTGTAAGAGTAGTAAACTGTAACTTTTAGCAAGGGGATTTAAGGTCAATGGAATTGTTTTATTTTACATAAGTACAAATACTTGTGTAGAAGTTATATCTCTAACACTTTCACATTTTTAATAATTGCAGATAACTGGCAAGTTGGAAATAATCGTTTCATAAAACTGTTCAGTGTTTTCAGAATGCATTTCAAACATTCTGTGTTTGGTATTTAATACATTTTGTCTTTCCAGGAGATTGGTATGGTTTAAAAATACAGTTCTTATACACATGTTATATTTTTTTGAATTAACTATGTAATATTTGTACAGAGAAACTTCAAAGGGTGAATTGGTTGGTCAAAAAACGTAACTTGTCCTTGTTGTGAAGCAGAGGTGTGAATTTGATTTTAAAAGTGGTGGGGCACGAGAGTTATTATATGTAACAAAAAAATGTTATGACTGCTATAGCGATGAGTGATTATACAAGTAAATTATCGAGAAATTATAGTTTTAGTACTGCTGTAATGTGAGAGGGACCTTCCCCTATTGTTGAAAAAATGAGGTGATATTTCCCCAGTCTTAAAAAAGTGAGGGGGTCATTTCCCCATTGTTGAAAAGGAGGACTTGTCCCTATGTAAATGCCTATATTAAAAGGTTATAATGGTGTTAATGAATTGGCTAGACCCCGGTGTTTATGGTGCCTTAAATGGACATCGGAATCTGTACGTTGAGCTTCAACATTCTGGAGTTTGTATTAAATTTAAAGAAAATTATTTAATGGTATATAAATCTCTCTAGAAGAATTTTACCTAAATCCCACAAGTATAAAAAATAAGCCACTAAAACTAAGTAGATTAGAAATATGTCCAAACATAAGTGGCATTCCTTAATTCATATGCACCCAACTTAAAATTGTAAGTAAGCTATTAGAATATAGGATATGCTTTTGTAATAGCCTTTTTAGTGCCAAATGTTTTGTTTGCAGTGAATTTGTGTACTTAATAGTTTGTTGATTTCGTTCGTGATTGTAGATTCTGGATTTTAATATATGTATATATATATTTTTTTTTTGTATGGGCTTTGTTGCCTTATGAAAAACAGTGTTAACTTATTTTATGTTCTACAGTTGAATTATGTTAAACCACTTTTAGTGCTTCTTCAGATTTTAGATAAACCCTTAAACTCCATAAAACAGATAAATAAAAAATATGAATATCAAGTAATAGCTAATTTTGTGTGTATCCTCTCTCATGTAGGCCTAAGAAGTTGTGGTATAATCATGTTTACAAGCTCTATGAAGTGATTCATTTAAACACTTACTCTTTGTCTGTTCTTCTTATCAGCCAATGAGATGCAAAACAGAAAAGTAGAAGATGTGTATAGTAACTTGCCGAATAAAATCTATTTAAATTACAACCAAAACCAAGATGTGATGTGTGTGTGTTATTTTGTAACATCAAGGTGTCATGTGTTATTAACAGTACTATGTTCAAACTTTATTGTAATAAGCTTTCCTAATAATTATACCACTCAAATGCACAAGGGATTAGTAATTTTTGTTGTTGTTGTTTTTCAAGGATAAAATATAAGCTTCAGATTGTTACATTAATCGTTTCAATTCGATTTTGCATTTTTTAATAATACGAATAATAAAAAATATACCAAAAGCATAAAAAATTAGAGAATCCAAAAAAAATGTGTTGTAATTTTTTACAGATAGTTGAGTATGTTTTATTAAAACTGTTATGAATATGCAACTCAGCAAGTCACGTGACATACGTGGCTGATATAAAGTTGCAGTGGAACTAAATTTTTACGTTGTTTGGCATTTGTAAGTAGTATGATGCAACCAAAAATTGATCGCTTTTGGGAAGGGTATGTATGTATGTATGTGATAGCCTTTTATGACACAAAATATTCCTACACTAAGATCATAAAGATGTGTATAGATCAGGATATTTAGAATTTCCAAGATGGGGATATCTCTTGTGCTTCTGGTATTGGAAAACAAAGGAATATGGATCAGCTTGGGGAGGCAGAACCATCCGGAAAGAGACCTATAACAAGTCGCATCCTAGCTGTAGTAAACAAAATACAGCATCTTGTAACAGGTGAGAATCCATGAACACAAAGGTAAGTTGCAAAAGCAGTTATCGTGCTCCAGGCAACAGTATGGAGAAGTGACACAAGTGATGTGTACACAAGTCACATATCCAGGAAAGATAATTGGAATAAGTCTCATGCCATTTTCTACTGGGCAGTGGGCATAAAAAAATCTAAAGGTGTTGAATAGCCTATTGCAAAACATTTTTGAAGGGATTCATGAGCATCACTGGGTACAATGCCAGGGGCAAGTTAGGGATCACGTGAGTCATCAAAGGTCAAGGTGAATCCTGCATACTATCAGACCAATATTAGTAACTCCTATTATCTCACAGGAATTGTTTTGAATTTCGCACAAAGCTACACGAGGGCTATCTGCACTAGCCGTCTCTAATTTAACAGTGTAAAACTAGAGGGAAGGCAGCTAGTCATCACCACCCACCGCCAACTCTTGGGCTACTCTTTTACCAACGAATAGTGGGATTGATAGTCACATTATAACGCCCCCACGGCTGAAAGGGCAAGCATGTTTGGTGTGACAGGGATTCGAACCCGCGACCCTCAGATTGCTAGTCGAGCATCCTAACCACTCACAGGAATACTAACTTTGTACAGAAACGAGGCCAAAAGAATATGGGTTCACTCAGAAAATGTTTTCAGCCATCATACCTCCTGTTCAACTGTTGCATACTTGAAGAGAATGAAATGGGTGTGCACGCTATTCTATACAACGACATACCAATACCTGAAGCAGCTGGAGAATGAAATGGATGTGCACGCTATTCTATACAACGACATACCAATACCTGAAGCAGCTGGAGAATGAAATGGATGTGCACGCTATTCTATACAACGACATACCAATACCTGAAGCAGCTGGAGAATGAAATGGGTGTGCACGCTTTCTATACAACGATACACCATTTAAGTCGCCATGGATTTCTGTGCAAATTGGACTGTTGAAACAGGTGATGCGAAGCCATTGTCTTTGTATGTTAGATGGAGTATGAAGAACCTGAAGGAAGATTTGTGTGCTTTGGATGTGATAGTTTTACAACAAAACCTTTTGTAATGGAAATTTGTGCGGAAGGACAAAACTGTTTTAATATAACCTATTCAGCCTTCTCTGTGAGTGTGTACAAGGTCAGTGACTCAGACAAATGACCTTCATTAAATCCCATTAGAGGTCACCTAACCAAAAACATTGACTACATGTTATTTCCCTTACACTGATTTTAACCAATTTATAAAAGCTATGATTTTTTGTTTTTGATGAGTATGGGTAAATATTTCAAATCCAAATTGTCCACAGTGAACACAGCAGATAGCCCGCTGTGGCTTTGCTCTAAAACAAATAAATAATTCCAAATCATTGGAAACTGTGATTTTTGTAATTTGTATAACAATCTCTGGTTTATACCAACACATACATTATTGAAGTAAAACTAAAAAGAAATTAAATCTTCTTAAATATTTCGTATTAGAATTTATAAAAAGAAACTATCTTATCCGATTTTTTCTACACTTCTGGAAAGTGCAGCACCCGCACGACGATGTTTTTCACTTCTGCAGTAACCAATCTCAAATATATTCCAAAAACCTCATCTTCAAAATGAAGTTATAGGTGCCAAAATCCCATTCCTAGCTCAAGTTCTTGAGTTTTGTTTTATAAAAATCTTTATTTGCTACCATCATGAAGTAAGTGATTGACCTTTGAGCTACATTCATCAAAAGTTAATCATTTGTTTTTAAAGTTTGTATCAAATATGATTAAAACTTTTCACAGGAGTGAAAAAATGCTCCAGCCGTTGGAATGCTGGAGCTACTAATGGTTATTTCATTAAGTTAGGAATGAAATATCCGAATGCTATCAATCTGTTTGGAATGTAGCTCAAAGATTACCCAGTCGTTGGGATAATACAGCCTTTACATACTTTTCTTTTACTTTCTATGTTTTATTTTTTTCGTTGTTTTTTCGTGAATTTCTTAAAATTCATAGATCTAAAATGTACAGTTGGTTATAAAGAAAGTTTAGCATATCATATCCCACAGACGGTATGACATAGGAAGATGAAATTGCAAATTGGTGTAAAGGGTATGAGGTAAATACTACAAGTGTCACATGTTGCCACTGTATTTTGGCTAGGGAAACTTTTTTTTATGCTGCCTGATTATAAGTGAAGTGTATGGATTATAAATAGAAATAAATCATCAGAAGACTACATATATGAACTATTAATTTACTTCCTGAACACTAACATCAAAAAACTTTTCTTACACTGAACCAGTTTCTCACTAGCAATTAAGTCACTGAATGCTTCATATTAATAACTCAATCATTTCTCACTGGCCGTCTTACTAGTATTTATATCAAATATACTTTATTCAGACATTATTGAAGTTACTAGTTCATTGCGAACTAGACCTACTTTCATAAAGTAACTTGATCTTAGAGTCCCTTTATACTGAGAGTAGCGACCAGTGGTTCATGGAGCCATCTTCCCTCCAATTGTCCATATTGGTAAAACAGTGGAAGTCACGCCACACTGGGAGCATGCTCACTGAAGTTTCTCGAAGGATCATGAATGTTCCTGGCGATTCTAGTTTGTTCGAGGTGCCCTCTTTTTTAGTATATAAGCCTGGCGAGAAACACCAGCGCGATTGAAGAGATAGATCGAGAAGGATTGATTGAAGAGATATAGATGGATATTGAAGTGATAGATAATTGAGTCAAGCAAACAGTAAGCACATTAAGTAAAGTGTGTGAATCACTATGATTTATAGCGTGTGTTATAAAGGTTGTTAAGTTTAAAGTTACTGTGGAAATTCTGTGTATTACAAAGATGTATCGAGAAAGAATAAACTAGTTTTAATCAAAAAGGGACTTGTATCGCTGAAGTTTCTGGGAAAGAATTTATACCGGAAATTAACAAACAAGCAAATAAGTAACAATATAGTACTGTACGCAACAGCTAACTGCACCGTTGTATTGCATGGCTTTTCCCCAAGTTGTGTTATTGCCTAATTATTAACTAGGTATGGTATGTTGCGCTACATGGGGCTATTCTAATCGCCATGAAAAGGGCCTCAAAGTGTGTAGATTTCCCACAGACATTTCTAGAAAAAAAATATGGGAACATAAAGACAGTAGACAAGGATGGAAAGCTTCACTATTTTCTCATCTGCGTAAGGCTCGCAAGCTCCGAAATCCATAGTAGTATCACAGGGCCAACCATTTTATTAATTATTTCTAGCTTGCTTATAAATGTTTTTAATTATTTATTTGTATTTAGTTGATCATGAAATAAATGTATTGTAAATCTGCAAAACATTTGTTTCCCACAGATGGCGTTTCGAGCGGTCATTCATTATTAGAAGGTATATCGAAACGTCGTCATCCTTTACAAATATTTTGACAATTTCTTTTGTAGTTTCTTGCGTCGCTAGTTGCATATATGTTTAACTCATGGTACTCTGATGTTGTTTAAAATAACGTGCAGATATAATTTTCATTCACAAATCACAACACCACAGTAGAAAAACAATTCAAATATTCGATCATATCACACCACCAGTTTTGGGAACGACAAATAGTCTATAGCAAGTCTGCACTCGTGAAACCAATAAACAGCGCTGACTGAGTGCAGGATTTAAAGATTAAATAAGACTTAGAAGTGTGGCTCTGATGAAGTATTAAGTTAAGTAGCTGGAAAGAGATTATGATACTCAACAATACTGACTGTAACCTGACTTTTAATACAGAGCATAGTTAAGTTCAAGTTATTATCATTATTAATTATATATTTAAGGTAGAAATAGTTCCACATTTTGTTCCTACACATGAATAGCAAGGTTTTGAAAGTGAACTTACGCGTTAAAGTGCATTATTCAATTTTTACATTAACAGACCATATTCCGAACCAACCGGTCGTGGCATAGTGATCAGCATCACGATTACGAATGATAGTGTTACGTATCTGTTTGTTTATTAATTTCTGGTAGAATTTCTTCCAGAGGAACTTCAGCGATACAAGTCCCTTCTTGATTAAACCAGTTTCTTCTTTCTCGATACAAACTTTTAGTACATAGTAATTCCACAATCAGTACGTTTCTCGGCACTTTAAATTTAACAACTTTTATAATACAAGCTATAAATCACAGCGATTCACAATCTCGATAATTTTACTCTCTAGGAGTGCAAAACATACACTAGCTCGAAACAGAATCGTAAATTACCCGAACTCACCGTGACTACTGTTCGCTTTATCATACATTAATACCCCGGGTTTTCTCTGCCAGGCGTATATACTAACAAAGAGGCATCTCTCAATCACACTCGAGCTTCCCCGATAATTCGAGAAACTCAGTCACACATGCTCCCAGCGTCACGTGTCGTAACACTGCCCTTATATTAAACCAATAGATAATTAACAATAACTTAATTAAATGTACAGAATTTACAAACACAAAATTAAAATATAACAAAGTCTCTTAATTTTACAGAACGTTTCTTCTTTCATACTGGTCTCCGTCTTATTGGCTTTCGCTTTACGTGGGATTCATCTGCTCCATCAGGAAATGTCCCATTATCAGTAACAGTCACATCAGTGGTAGTAACTTCATTAACGGCTTCACTGTTTTCCTTCTCAAAACCGGGTAGAGTTTCTTCTTCAATGGTGGCTTTTTCAGGTGACACGTCTTCAACAGTGTCATTTGTTCTGTTGTTCATTTCGTTCCAAGTGAAATATTCTGGACTGTGATAATGCCAAAGCCTGTTGGCATGCGCCACCTTTGGCTTACCTCGTCGACCACATTTTATTCAGAAAGTCACATCCGAGAGACGATCCACTATGTCATATGGGCCTTCCTATGAAGAAGACAACTTAGGAGACTTCCCTTTGGTCTTCCTGGGATTATACAACCACACCTTGTCTCCTGGTACAAAGCTGACTTCAGTTGATCTCTTATCATAACATAGCTTCATGGAATCAGCAGACGTTTTCAAGTTTCAACGCACTTGATGATGAATATCATCCATCCTTTTAGATAACACTTTCACAAACTCTGACACATTTTCAGGCAACTATTCGTAAGGTGGGCACCCTATTATCAGGTCCACTGCCAACCAAAGTTACCGACCAAACATCAGCTTGGCTGGAGTGTATCTAGTGGCTTCATGCTCTGCTGTTCTATAGGCCATCAACAGTAGAGGGATTAAGACATCCCAGTCATTTTGGCAGCTATTACAAAACTTTGCCAATTCCTGTCCCAGTGTCCAATTGTACTTTTCTACCATCCCATCAGACTGTGGGTGAAGTGGCGTTGTCCTAGTCTTTTG